TGAGAAGCGAAGTTTCTATCCACGCTCGAGCACACTTGGGCGCGGAAACTCGATAAAGAAAACCTCGGCTCGAGTGTGTTGACGATAAGAGGATCGACAAGAAGGGAAAGCATTAAGAAATCACCGCGCGAATCGAACGGCGGAAGAGGCGTTAGAAAAGAAAAAAAGAAAAAAAATATTAAATCGCTTGACAAAAGCGATGAGAATTAATAGAAGGAAAGGAGAGAGAGAGAGAGAGAGAGAGAGAAAGAGAGAGAGAGAGAGAGGACAAGGAAGGAACGCACATGTGGCCAGAAGTTGTCGTCGATATCTTCTCTCTGGCGCGATGACACAAAAAGACTCGCGAAGATTACGAGTCTCCTTCGTAAATATACGGTAAAATTGTTCTTCGACCTCGTATTATTTCAACGTGGCGACGAAATAACAACCGGTCGTTGGTATCCGCTTTCTGTTTTCAAAAAAAAAAAAAAAAAAAAGTAATGACGATTTATCTATTCGCCGCCGCAATAACGCAAAGTCGAGGTGAGCTATCGACCTCTAAAAAAACCTTCTTCTTCTCCTCTTCCTCCTCCTCCTCCTCCTCCTCCTCTTCCCTTTGATCTTTTTCGCGAGCTCGAGCGTCGAGTTTCTTGATCGCGCGACAGTCGTAAAATTGGCGGAGTGACATAAAGCGACAAATAAATGAATTACCTTGCGCAGCGTCGAGGAAAGGATTGGCGACAGCGATGACCGCCAACATCGTGAACGAAACGATCGCGAGCATGGCCGAGCGGCGAAGATTTCCAGATAATCGCTGCCCAATCTCCATCACTGGCCGCCCCATCCACGCATCCTCAATGATAAACGGAAACGGGGGCGCGAAATATAGGAAACGTCGCGAACGATCGTAACAGACAAGGGCATATCGGAGCGGGATGCGGACCCGCGCGAGGAACGAGGTGCACCGGAGCGCAGTCCGCGAGCGACTGAGCTTTTCGTGGCATTTGCACAGCCTCGAGTCTCTCCGCCAAGCTTTTTACCGAGTGGGTGAGAGGAAGAAAGAGATGAGAGCCCGGGAGAGAAACGGGAGGAAGGAAGAGGAAGGGAGTGGAAGAGGGAAAGAGGAGCCTTTAGAGGGAGAGAGAGAGATAGGAACGGAGAGATTGCGCGTAGGAGGAGGGAAAAGACGCGTGGCGCGTTGTCACGCAGTGCAACTGCTATTGTGACATCTTTGAACAGTACCCACACGATCTTTCCTATGTGCGTAACGTATTTTTTTCCCTCCCTCCCTTTCGTCGTTGCATCCACACGAGGAGGAATCCCGCACGGAGCATAATCGTACATTGTTAGGATCGATAGCAGTTGCTCAAATTCTCGGTTATCTCTCCCCAAACAGATTAGCCAAACGTTGACTATATATATATATATATATATATATCCCGAAAAACGAGATCCCATCGAAAGTCATAAATTCGAGGGAAGTCGCACGGTCTGAAAGCTGAACCGGGCCCGTCGGTTGGAAAGCTGCATTCCTGCACCGGATAAACCGATAACCCGTGCTTGTACTTCCTTTGATAGCGATTATGACGAATATTACGAGCGAGCATAATCGTTCAAGATACGGGATATCGTTCATTCTATTACTGATCCTTGCTACGGACAATGATTCGGCGCTGCAGCCAGTTATTCATCGGAATATTTACTTACTACTCGTGAGTAATGAGTAATTGCGCGATATCTCGTTTCCAAAATATCTCGATACAAAAAAATGAGATTTAAACTTCATTCGGAGGAGTGAATAATTTCGGGTCGTTTCGTTCAAGCAGATGGGAAATAAAATTTATATATCAAGATCGTGAAACGCGATCCCGGTGATCCCCGGTGGAAATTGAAAATCGAAATGTTGCGTTTTTTATGTTTCGTTTCTTTATATCGAGATGTATTTTTATTTATAAATTACGACTCGGAATCATCGATGCGGGATGGGTCGCGTTACGAACCCCTCGTGAAGTCAATCGTCGTCTCGATGCTCGGGTAATTTATTAATTTATTCCGCCGATAAATCCGTTTGAATCCGCACGTAGGCTGTGGATGGATTGTTCCTCCTCGAGAGCTATTCTCTCTCTCTCTCTCTCTCTCTCTTCTTTCGCATCTTTATCAACTTTCTTCCGTCCGCTGGTTTCTCCTTTATAGAATAGGCTTGTTATTTCATTCTCGTAAATGCGCACACCCAAACCATCAGACCGTTATTTGAGATAACAATTTTATCGTCGATAATCATACGATTCATGGTGCACGAGTCATGGCTCGTATAATTGCAATTCGCGGTCCAAGTCGTCGGTGGAAGAGAAGGTTTTGAAAGGAAACGCGAAAGCTCGAGTCGAGGGAAATTCGTAATCCGTACACAGATTGGTAGAAGAAAAAAAAAAAAAAATAGAAAGGAAAAAAAAGGAAAAAAAAAGAAAACCCGTGGATGAAAACCAGTTTCCAGTCGAACATCGATAAATACCTGGCGAAGTTCTTGCAAATGTATACCGGTTTATGCCGTACTACCACCGTCACTTTGTACGCTATGAAGACCATTATTAATGTAACGCTGCTACGCTCTCAACGACTAATTTGCAAAATGAACGGTTGATGGCATTATCTTCGTATATAGAGCTCTTGTACGAGGTCCGCTCGTGGCTCACTTTTGAACCGCTAACAAAGACATTCGTGGGTAGAAAACGCCTTTTAAAATTTCCCCTTCGCGAGTACGGTGACCAGAGAGTGTCTCTTTTCACTCGGATAAATACATAATAGGCAATTTAAGCGTTGTTACGAAGCGGAAGTAATGGGGCAACGATGCGATTAATAATACAGTAACAATTAAATTCTGTTCGATAATTGCAGATGATATATACGTATCCTATGGCTCTGGTTATTATTTTCTTTTCAGTGCCTCTCAGTCAGTCGAACGTTTCACAAGAGCCTACCTTCGACGTTCCATCGTTTTCCATCGATGAAAGATCGTGCCAGAAACACGTTTTTGCTCGGACTTCGCTCGGCTCTACTTAACTCGCTCAATGGTTATTAGTCACAATGGTTATTAATTATCCAAGTGGCGAGCACTCGTTTAATTGGACGGTATCTCGTGCATCTATTGACGAGACCATATAAATTTTAAATTTTCCATAGCGATAGGACTCTGTCCCGGAGATGTTTTCTACTTACGTATAAGATACGATATAACGAAGAGGAATTTTTCAAATTTGTTGCGTGACGATACTCCTCCGCTCGAATTGGCCGTCGTGAAAACTCGTCGAGGTGTCCCGAGGTTGGTGAAATAAATTTGCCGGCGATTTACTTTCTGTGCATGCACGTTTCAAGTATTTGACTCACGCACCCTTCGAACGAGCGAAAGGAAAAGGAGGGAGAGGGCGAGCGCGCGCGACCAAGGGGAAAGACCAAATAGTTCTGTGAACATTGTATCCTCCGTCAATCGTCGGCTGCATGTCAATGAACTAAGCGTCGAGAAGACGGCAGAAATCGAGGACCAACGAGGACTCGACAAATATCTCTTGGTACGCGTACGCTGATCGTGAGAAATCGAGTTTCTCGCGTAAATTTGTCGCGCGTTATGCGACAGCGCCAGAGGAATGTCTTAATCATGATCGGAATTCGCAATGTCTATCCCCTCCCCTCTCCCCTTCTTTCGATCACATTGTGCTACAAGCAACGCGAGGCCCATATATTCCACCTGCGTAATAAAGTTAAGAGTTTTCGATTTTCTTCCTTGAAATTCTTTCTTTCCCGTTGCCACATATATAAAACGATTATCGATCGATTAACCATAACTATTATATTAACATTTATATCTATTTATCTTATTTGTCTATCTTATCTATTTATCTGTCTCTCTCTGTTTCGCACGAAACTTTCGAAATTGGTTGGAAGAAAGTTATCTGTCTATCCAATATGTTCATCTGTTTATTTCATCTGGTTATCTTATCTGGTTATCTTATTTATCTATTTATCTTATCTACTTATCTATTTATCCCTCTCTTTCTCTCTCTGTTTCGCACGAAATTTTTGAAGTTGGAAAAAATCTGTCTATCTTATCTGTCTATCTTGTCAAAGGTTATATATACGTATTCCTGTGCTTATTCATGGAACGAATTTGTCGGGTTAATCGTTATTCTTTTCGATTTGGATAATGCATAGCGTCGACCGTCTCGCTAGTTTGCCGGTTTGTCATTATGGAAAACTTCATCGCGGAAAGACAATAGGTATACAAGAGAGAGAAATTGAACCGAGACGCGTAATAAACGCGGTTCGAAAAATTCGATGATAGAGAATTTCTTCGAACTCATGCGTAAGGAAATTGTCTCTGAAAGGTCAAGGAAATAGTAAGATTTTTACGATAATTAGATAGAATAAGATTTTCTAAAATGGCCTCTCTTATTTAATTTGAACGATCGCCGTTATTCCCCGCATAAATCTTCGGTAACGTTATTTGCAAAGTTGAGTATAGCGGTTCGAAACATCCGGAAACGTATTTCATCCGGTATCATAAATAAGATTCGAATATCTTTGAGTTTACGATCTGAAGGTGCCCTCCATTGAGCCCATTGTCGTTGTAACCTGATATATGCACTGTTTTTTCTCGTGAAAATTCGCCTCGCTGCACACGCGCAATGAAATTCTCCATCGTTTCACCATCGAGATCTAAGCAAACTTCACCGTGAAACGAAACGATGATATATCGAACGAAACATTCTATCGAGATCGAACGAATTAATCGTAAAAATAATCGCGTAAAGTATTAATTTTTTCGATCGAAGGATTGGAAACGAAGCGGATTGAGCGTGAAAAATTAACGAGAGAAAAAATAAAAGAGATTTCTCGAAAGTCTTTACCGACCGCGCACAACGTGGCGAGGGTGGCGCCTTCGGCAAGGTCTGCCTATGAATCGCAACCCTCGAGAGAGACCAGTGGTGGAGGATTGACACACGGTGGGGTGGCGAAACGAGAAACTCTCTTTCCGTGAAAGTGTCGGGGTGTATTGGCGCTGTCATATGGAGGCAAACGAGGCGCCGTGTTAGGCACTCTGGCCTGCACGGACGCCTTGCTGTGTGCGTTACGTCGTGAAAAAGTAGTTGGAAGAAAAAAAAAGAAAAAAAAAAGCGAACTGTGTAAACTAAGTTTTATTAATTTGGTGAGTGTCACGGATGTATTGGATGTTACGGAAAAGTTGAAAGCGCGAGTGTAAGGATACAGCGAATTTAAAATGGGTCAACCCAGCAACCCAGCAACCAAACGTGTACTCCTTTCTTCTACTAATTCATTATTTGGCCTAGTTTTATCGAGAGTGAGCGAACGAAAAGATAACGCAAAAGTCTTCTCGTTATGAAAAAAATGACACGAAAAGTGCGCCTTTCTTCGACTTTTGATTCTTCGTCGTTCGTCGTTGCGTTCGTGATCGTTGACATCGCCATCGTCGTCGTTGATTCTACGATCGAAATTTTTATTTCCGTTCGATGAATAGAAGTATGAAATTCTCGCCGGCTATGGAAATACATTGATTGGCCACACGCGGCCACAGTAGCGAGAGGTGATACAGGTGATAAAGGGAAGCGGAGGTGAGAGGTCGCGTTTGCATTTCCTCCTACATGAGGAAATCACGATTCAACAAACGAATCCCATCGTATTGGGATGTCTTCCATTCGAGGAAATCGTCGTATCACGGATGAGTTATGTGGGTTTTTTGGTCATAAATCAGCCAACACAATGCAACGGAAACGAGTCGTAATATATTTTACTCGTGTTACGGTGTTTTTGTATGGTACGGTCGACAATCACGCGTTTGCGATATGCAATTCGCGAGAAAGCTAACGGGTAACCACGATACAATCGCGGACACTTGTACGCGACCCTGAATTCAATTATCGATTCTCCGAGGAAAATACACGACGATGCAGTTTTGATGCACTGTCGCAATTTATTTCGTTTAAACCGATATTTTTGTTATTTGTTTCGTCGAAGAGAAAATATAGAGTAATTTTTAAATGGAAATGTAATCTTCTTTTAGATTAATATAATAATGTTATTTGCATTTGTTTAAAAATTGATTTGTAATTCGATGCATTTATTTAATATCCAAGTTACTGTATGTTAACACTCGTAAACGGAGTACATTGAATATTTAAATAATCTTGCACAAATGATTTGATAGAATTTAATTAATAATAATTTTTATTTTTATTTTTACCATAGGTCAATAAGTGTTGATTGAATGTGTTAAAAATGGCGGCCAGTAAACCTCCGGAAATGAATTACACGTGCGAAATTTGCGGTCTAGAAGGTTTCAACGATGAAGAGATGAGATCTCATATGGTTTTCTATCATCTTCAAGGAGCTGCAAATTGCCCCTTTTGCGATTTAGGCGAAATTTCACCAACAGAGATGTTGACACATGTTAATAGTGCTCATCTCGATTATTTAACACCTAGGTATATTTATAGCAATTATATTTTATATATTTTTTTTTATTATCTTTCACAAATTTTCTTTCGATATGTCGTAAATTGTTTAAATTAGTCCGATTGCAAGAAAAATGGCGGTAAAGATGGGCCTTAGATGTCGCTAATATACGAAGTTTGTGATTCTTGTAACGAAATTATTTGCATGCAGAGTACTTCTTGAAAGATTTTTTGAATATACAGAAAATTCATTGAATAAATAAAAAATAAAATGCAATAAGTCGCAACTAAATATATTTATTTCTGATATTTGCATTTATATGCATTTGGATACTTATGTTTATTTTGATATTTATAACTTTGTTTTTCTAGCAATTATTATTATAGCAATTATTATATAGTGTATAATTATTATGTAAATTTCTATAGATTTGAATTAATTATATAAAACATGATAAAAGATTATAAAAAGGAAATAGAATATGAATTGATGCACATTGATAGTGAAAAGTATTCAATATTTTTATTTATTTATTTATTTATGTTTACATATATATATGTTTTAAATATTAATGTAAGATAACAATTGTTTTATAGTACTCCAGAGAGTGATATGATGGCATTTATTGATGATGATTCATTAGTGGATGATAGAAGACATGACGAATGTCGTGGTCCATGTCCTTCTCCAACCATGTCTCCAAGTCCTCCACTTCTTCAAAATGGTTGGAGTAGTTCGTTTAGTCCTCGTGCTAAGCAGCAGCAAGAGATATTAAAATCAGAGCCACAAATTTCTAGTTCTAATATGAATAATAATAACAACAACAATAACATTGGAAATGTTAATAATGGTATTAGAATAATTTGATGAAAAAACATCAATGATTATGAATTAAAATTTCTATGAAGTAGAATGATCATAATAAACATAATTTTTCAGTTATAGAAGGTGCAGCTGGACATGGATCTCCACTGCGTTCAGGCCTAAATTTACAACTGCGTTCTCATGCTTCACCAAAACTTCCAGTTCAAGAATGTCCTATGTGTCCCTACAGTTCTGATAATCCATCAAGGCTAGAAGAGCATATCAACAGACAACATTTTGATCTTACTTCGCCGTCCTTTCCACCTGAATCTCCACCATCTCGTGATGGTGTCTTTAACTGCCCTTTATGCATCACGTCTTTTCCAAATTCTTCTGATCTTGAATTACACGTTAATATAGAGCATAAAGATATTTTAAGGTAAAATTTATATTATATTAATTATAAATACATAAAATTATGTATCATATTTGAATTATTATTAATTATATTATATGTTTTATTCTTCTACAGTCCTGCAAATGGTGCAGCTTCCCAAACGGCTCAAGCGACTATTGGTAGTGATACACCTGTATGTCCAGTTTGCTTTAGTACCTCGTTTAAAAGCAATGATGAATTGACTGCACATATTGAAGAACATTTCAGTAAAAAGTGCACTCCATCCCCTATAACTCCAGATTTATCTACTGATAGAATGTTAGCAAAAGATATGGAAAGACTTGAAAAGGAGCTCAGAAAATTACGCGAACAACGTGAATTTGAATTGTTAAGAGCTCAATATGGGATGGACAATCAAGGAAATTTTAGGGAACAAAGTGTTACCAATATGCAGCGGGCTGTATATTCAGGAGAAATGACAATTGCTGATTATTACGAAAGACAAACTGAACTCAGAGTAGCTGAAAGCAGCGGTATCGATGATGGCAGCTCCTGTACACGCGGTAATAATTTTTTTTTTAAAAAATATTCTTTCATAATATTAAGAATATTTCTTATTACTAATATCAATATATATATATATATATATATTTTTTATAGGATTAGTTCCCAAAATACGAGCTGTCAGTCAAGCATGTAGTAATGTATTAAGCACCTGGATGTGTTCTACTGTAGATCATTATGCTACCACTTATGGAGATAAAGGATGGGGATGTGGTTACAGAAATTTACAAATGTTAATTTCATCACTTTTACAACATACAGGGTATAATGAGTTAGTTTATAAAGCATGGAATTCTGGTTTGGATAGTGGTAATTCTACCAAGAATCCATTACGAAGTTCAATACCGTCGATCTCTAGACTTCAGAAAATGATAGAGTGGGCTTGGGCTCAAGGTTTTGATACCCAAGGAGCAGAACAATTGGGAGGAAAATTGGTGAATACTAGAAAATGGATTGGTCCTACAGAAGTAGTCATATTATTATCTAGTTTGAGAATAAAGTATGTTTTTCAATTTTCATTCATATTTCTCTATCAGAATCACATTATATATAATATTTTCATTTTAGATGTCAGTTAATAGATTTTTATACACCAACTAATTCTGATGGTGGACATCCTGAAATGTTTAATTGGGTTTTACAATACTTCCAACGTTGTGATGATTTTAAACCACCTCTTTATTTACAGCATCAAGGTAAATACTTATGTGAAAAAAAAAAGAATTAAAAACATGAAAAAAAAAATAAAATAAGGAAAGAAATTAAATATTATTCTCATTCAGGTCATAGTAGAACAATAATAGGAGTAGAACAATTAAGAGATGGTTCAATAACAATGTTAGTACTCGATCCAAGCCATAGCCCAGCACAAATGGCACAATTTAACAATACAAGTAGTGCACTCGGTGCAATGCGTTTGGTGCGAAAATCGATTGCAGCGATGAAAGCAAGACAGTATCAAGTTGTTGCTGTTACCGGTATCATGGAAACTGACTTAGAATATCATGTAATTTCTCTTATTTAAAATTTTTCTAAAATTTATTTATTGTTCATATTTTCATTTATTTTATGTATCTTTATTTTATATATCTATATTTTATTTAATTACATCTTTATATTTCTATAATTTCAGGAAAGCAAAGTGTTACGTTTAATTCGTGTACCACAAGATAGGTGAGACTTACTGGCTCGAAAAGAAGTTAAATCTTTTGGAAAGACGATAGACTGCCTGAAACCAATTTTGTCCGGCATCCTTAAAGTTACATGACCGCAATATTCTAGGTTTTATTAATAGGGGATTTGCTCCACCATAGTAGTTGCAAAAATATTATTTAACAATATATTCTTGCATATTTTCTCCGTCGTATGTCGGTTTCTCAAATCACGTATATTTAAGCCTGCGTCGCGGTTCAGAATTTTGGAGTTAAAATTGATGAACTTATAAATTTACAATTTTTAAAAAAAAAATCTATATATCGCGAAAATTAATTTTTTTTTATCAGCATTAAAAATATTGTACTTTGATGTGTGCTTGAGAAAGAAAATTATAATCAGGATGTATGTTCAAAGATAAAATCGATTGAAATTTTTTGGTCTAAATAATGTTCTGCTCAATTTTCGTCGCACCGAACAGGTTGTGCTAATTTTTAATTGATCAATCGACTTATGCCGATCGGTTGCATCAGCGAAAAAAGCCATGGCAGAGCTTGAAAAATGAGACTCTTTCGTAGCTGTGATGCTGTTAACAATTTAATGCTAATCACCGATTCTTAATATTTTTGAAGACATTCCATATGATCATTAAAAAAAGCATTGTCCGTGTTTTAATTTCTTTCATTTGTATTTTACATTTTTAATAAACATTGTTGTCACAATATTGTCAATTTTTAGTCAGTATAAGTATCAATAATAACGATATATCACAATTCGCGTTATATATGATGAATTTTATAAATCGTTCTAAAAAAATTATTCTCAAATAAATTCTTATTATCGTTGTTTTTACATAGTTTTTGGGGTGTCTACAAGAATAAACAACATATTTCCATATATTATATATACATTTATCTATATACATATACACATATGTGCACACATTCTTCGTTATATTACACTTCATTCACTCATACATAAAGTACAACTACTTTCATACTATTTATGAATAATGTATTTAATTATTGGATTACTTTAAGACTTATCCATACCTTAACATGTAAGTTAAACACAATGTTGAGAGAGAAAAAGATCAGACAGTCCATTACCTTGTTATTTATATAACATAATTAAAAGTTATATTATTTTTATTCTTATAATTATAATCATTAATATTATTGTTATTATTATTATTATTATTATTATTATGATATTTATTATATTTACTGTAAATTATATCAATATACACAATTTCTATTTATTATAGTTGGAAAAAATATTGAAAATCATTAAGAAGTTTGATATTTGTTATTGTGGAAAATATTATTAAAAATTATTATTATGTTTTATTATTTTTACATGAATGAATGTTACATATAAAGGGCACTAATTGGATAAATATTTGTCTTTCTATTTATTAAGATCATATAAAATATGATTGACAAGAAAATGACAATTATTACTTGCATTAAATTCATCATATATTAATTAAGAATATGTTCAACATTTTGGAATGTTCAGGCAAAGCAAATTATGGAATTGTTAAGCAAGTGTAAAAAAACTTCAAATTATTCACATGTCAAATTAAAATATATGCTTTGTGTTAGAATTCCCAATTTATGTGTGATTGTTTTATACCATTTAAAAAACAAAATATTTTTTTCATCTCAATATAAAAACTTATATGTGTGAAGGTAGGGAAATTTAAATAAAAAATACATTTGATACAAACAAAATAATTTATTTTTTTCTAAATTAAATATTTAATATTATCATTGTTAAAAAAAATATTATATCATTCATATAAATTAAATATTATTTATTCAAATACAAAGTTTGTTTCTACAAACAAAATATAACCTGAGAATTTGTTACATCATCTACAGTAATAAATATTTATATATTTATTTATATGTTAAATCCTAGTGATCGCATACAAGTTTTATGTGCTTCTATTAAATCCCTGCAGTTTTCTTCACCTTTAGTAATAATACTGAAAAAAAAATTAAAACTTTATTTGAAAATATTTGTAATAGAATATATATTTTGAGATAAGGTTATGTATTAATTCGTAGATAAGAGCAAATTAATTTAATATAATAGATTTCATTAAATTATTTTATTCGTAATTTTAAAAATTTATGAATTAAAGATATTTTTTAAGCAAAAATATTGTTATTGTTTAATATTGTTTATTAAATATTTAAAGTATAAACATACCAATCATCTCTTGCTTTTTTCGTTTCAGGACAAGCACAACAAGGTTTCAATGGTTTATCAGATTTTTGCACATTTTTTGATTCTGCACTGACATTTGGTTTATCATTTATAATACCCATTATTATGTAAGAAAGATAATATTTTGTACAATATAATGTTTTATTAGAAACGTTAACATATACCTAAAGCTTTCAATGCATTTGCACCAGATTCAGCGCCTCTATGAGATTCATTTTCACGAAATTCGAAATATGGATATGGATAAAACATTTCTTTCTAAATAACTTAAATAATTATTGTATAATAGAATCTTCATTTAATGATTGATTTAATGAAAAAATAGGCAAATTCATATAAATAAAAATTAACCAAAATAGCATTACATAATTTATGTATTAAAAACAAGTTTTTTTTTTAAATTCTTTATATTAAAAATGTTCTTCTTATAAGAATTTTTAATATGTATGTATTTTTATTTTATTATTTTTGCACTTATATGTGTTTTATTAAATCATTCGCATCTAATATTTCTTTTATTTCTAAAAAAAAAAAAAAGAACTTATATAATCGATAATTCGATTAACTGAAATTATAAGTAATTGTTAATCGATTTTCTAATTAATTGAAGTTATATTTTGTATATTAAATTATATTAAAAAATATACATAATATGTAATATATTATGTGATAAAAATATACATAATATGTATTGAAATATATATAATAGTGTATATAATATGCTTCTCTTTCATATATATAATCTATAAAAAAAAATATATAATCGATAATTCGATATAATCGATAATTGATTGATTCTTTGATAATCGTTAATTAGTTTCCGGTTAATCAAGTTTCCGGTTAATTAAAGTTATATTTTGTTTAATTAAAATATATTATATATTATATATTATATATTGAAAAACATTATTTAATTTTCTATATTTAATTAATAATTAATTAATATAACAAAAAAATTTTATTAAATATCTGATTTATCATTTTCATAATTTATTAATATAGAAAATTTCTACGACGCGGCGTAGAGATTTTGGTTTACTGCGCAGATGGAAAGAGGGGGAACCGTGTCGCGCCAAATTTACGGCGCAATGAGTCATTGTAGTGTCGAACGTCGTGGGAATAACATATAAATTTTCGATCAGTGTTGTTGTGTTCGTTAATTTTGTAATATTTCCATTGCTACTTTTTTGAGGTATTTATATATTATTATTATCTTTATTTCATTAGTTATTTTTTATTTAATAATTTATTAAATATTTTTATAATAGAAAATTAAAATAATTTCGAACTTTTCTGTCTTTTCTTGTTAATCGGTTATCTGATTATCCGATTATATTTTCAAACTTTTGTAATAAAATTTATTGTTTTTATTGTTTTTCTTTATTTTAATTGGCTTTAGTTTTTATAATTAAATTAAATTTTCGGTCTTTTTCTGTACAGATTATAAATTGAACGCAAATATGTATGATTTCGAAGAAATAAAACGCCAATTTAGAATATGGACGCCATGATGGTTTTTTAATCATTTCAAATAGTTAATCCCGCGCTTTGGAAACATGGTAACGTTCAACAATTTGTAAAATATACGTAATATACAATTGTTTTTTTTATTAAACTATGATAATAATATATAATTGATATACATATATTTAACAAATAATTCATAGTTAATATATATAATATTATATTATATACATTAATATTATAAATATATTAAATATTTTTTTGACAATATCAAGATGAAATTGAAAAAAGGTTAAAGAAATTATATTTCTATTTTGAATATAATATAATTATTTTTTCGTTTCAAATTGACAAAATTGATAAAATTAATCGAAAATTTCTTTCTAAAAGTAATAATGGCGACTAAAATTTGGCCTTTGTTTATATTCTTTCTTCTTTCCTTGAATGATAATACAAATTTACGGCGCAATGAGTCTTTGTAGCGTAGTGTTTAGAAATGTTTTGTTTTGAATTTTGATATGCCTCGAATCATTTTCGAATATTTATAATACACGAAGAAGTTCTTTTAAAAATATACAATTACAACAATATAATCTAAATTTCAATAACATTCATCATCCAATATAATAAATAATAATTTAAAAATTTAGCAGTATTTTCTTCAGCAAACGTTAGATATGAAAAAGAAGCAGAATATTTCCATATTTTTCTTCTTTTTCTATACCATTCCTTCCTACTAATATATTTTATTTTCAGAAAATTGTTGACCGCGTGCAATGCGGTCATTAGCGTCAGTGTTTGTTGCGTAGTTTTTTAAATATTTCTATAGAGCACAATAGCTCTAAGTAAATTTATCGTAATAAATATTCGCGAAGTTCGAGTCAGTGCTTGTTCGCCGATTGTACTTATACGGTCGTGTCAGTAGTCTTTTATTTTATTTTATTTTTTTAAATATTCGCTTTCGGTACAGGATAGAATCAGTGCTTCTCTCAACAGTATAAGGCGATCATCCATCACGCGAAGAGGTAATTGTTTTTGTATATTTTTCTACAATTTATTTTTTTTAGTTCCAATTTTTATTCCTATTAAATTTCTAAAATTTATAATCCATTCCATTTTTTAAAATTTTTAAATAATTTAAGGAATACATTTTTAATATAAAAGATTTAACATAATATTTCATTTTTGTTACAGATGCTGATAACCAATTAAACTTTTTGTGATCGCGCGCAATGCGATTATTAAAATCAGTGTTTGTTGCGTAGTTTTTTAAATATTTCTATAGAGCACAATAGCTCTAAGTAAATTTAATCATAATAGATATTCGCGAAGTTCGAATCAGTGCTTGTTCGCCGATTGTACTTACACGGTCGTGTCAGTAATCTTTTATTTTATTTTATTTTTTTAAATATTCGCTTTCGGTACAGGATAGAATCAGTGCTCCTCTCAACAGTATAAGGCGATCATCCATCACGCGAAGAGGTAATTGTTTTTGTATATTTTTCTACAATTTATTTTTTTTAGTTCCAATTTTTATTCCTATTAAATTTCTAAAATTTATAATCCATAATTCCATTTTTTAAAATTTTTAAATAATTTAAGGAATACATTTTTAATATAAAAGATTTAACATAATATTTCATTTTTGTTACAGATGCTGATAACCAATTAAACTTTTTGTAATCGCGCGCAATGCGATTATTAAAATCAGTGTTTGTTGCGTAGTTTTTTAAGTATTTCTATAGAGCACAATAGCTCTAAGTAAATTTAATCATAATAGATATTCGCGAAGTTCGAGTCAGTGCTTGATCGCCGATTGTACTTACACGATCGTGTCAATAGTCTTTTATTTTATTTTATTTTTTTTAAATATTCGCTTTCGGTACAGGATAGAATCAGTGCTTCTTTCAACAGTATAAGGCGATCATCCATCACGCGAAGAGGTAATTGTCTTTGCATAATTTTGTATAATTTATTTCAATATTATTAATAAAGAAGTAAAGAATTAAAATTTTAAATTTGTCCTTTATTACAGATTCTTCTCTGAAATTGTCCTAATTTCTTTTCAATCAGAGCGACAATTTCATACTTCGCATCGAACGGTGAGTTGCATGCATTTATATTCCTCCGGTCATTCAATCATGTCGTAGGATGAAAGATCCAAATCGACACGGATGACTGGTTGTATACGTAGAATTTTGCACGAGCACAGTGACCACGGGTATTTATTATACTTGTGAATAGTAACATTTCTCTTTTTTATTTATTAGATCAGGATAGGTTTTCTTGCACATCGTGTTTTTAATAAAATGACATTAATTTTGATTAATTATTGATTAATTATTTCAACACAATAAATTGAAAATCAATCTGAGATCT